TAAATAGAAAATTTTATGAGAATTAAATAAATGGTATTGTTAAGATTAATATTCAGTCGGGAAATTTTATAATTACTATTTTTAATAAATTTATCAGTAATGCTCGATATTTTTTCGTAAAAGATCACATAAAAAAAAATATAGTACTAATTTCTAAGTAACTTTTGGTGTTTAAAAAGAGTCTACAATTGATATAATCAAAACTTAATTAATTTGAATAATTTACTTTAGTTAAAAGAACCGTCTGCTGTTTCACTACTCCAATTAGCCATATATCTTTTAATAAATAAAGTTTTATGAATAGATATTTGCACTTTTTGCCCGATTTTGAATTTGGCTTTTGATTTTAAAATATTTTTATGAGTTAACTTTACCGATAGCAGATTAAAGTCTCCCCGTATAGGTGTCAATCGTACGGTGTTTGCTGTTATTATATTTTTCGATCAAAAAATGTAATACAGTGGACTCCCGGTAATCCGACAAACGTTTTGCAGGTCAGCGTCGAACCATCGAATTTGTCGGATTATAGAGTATTCCCTAAGACTTCCTATAGTCCGGAACTTTTAACAAAAGAGTACCTTGTAATTCGAAAAATCATAAATCCAAAGATAAGATTTGGTCTTAACAGGCCCTGGTATGAAGTAAAAATCATGCTTCATTATGAATGTCGACTTAAGTAAATTAAACAACACAATAGAAAGCTTATGTTTTATTATAAAATTAACGTTGCTAGAGAACTTACAAAAAATAATAACTTTACATCAAGGAATACAATTACAATGTAAGCTGCATCTTGTCCTATCGCTTGTGGAGTAGTTGCAATTACGTCGTCGCCATCTTCCTGATTTATGGTTGTATTACTAGATATCTCTTTTATAATCTCATCGTCAGACATTTCATAAAAAATATTTTCCTTCTTATCCAATCCATAGTACCAGATTTCCAAATCTTGCGATCTTATCTGTGTTTCAGCAGCAACTTTCTCTATTACTTCCGAAGTTACACTGATTTGCGGATCGTTTCTAGGACTGGTGACTATATCCGGCCATAACTTTTTCCAAGACGATGTAATAGTTGACGAAGGTAATGCATTCCACGATTGACAAAGAGCAAAAACCAAATCTTTCATATTGAATTATTTTAAAATTTTTTCTATTGGCTGATCTTTTGATACAGCTTTCAGAAGTAGATTTTTCTTATAATCTTGCTTGAGAAACTGAATGATATGTTGATCCATTGGTTTTATCAGTGCAGTGCAGCTTGGTGGAAGAAACATTGCAGTGATGTATTTATCCTCAGTTGTCAGTTCTTTTTCAGACGGATGACTGGGAGCGTTATCAATAAGCAATAACGCTTTTTGAGGAAAATTATTATTTTTCAACCATTTTTTAACTTCTGGTACAAAGCATTCATCAAACCACTTCTTGAAAAGGTCTTTTGTCATTCACTCACTTTTTTGACCATAATTGTGTATAGGCAAATCAATGTTTTTAAATGCACGTGGTTTATTAGACTTTCCAACGACCAACATTTTTAGAATTCATCATTAGAAATTTTCTCTCCTGATATAGTTATTAATCGTATGCAATGATGACTTTTGAAACGTTCTAACCATCCCTCGCTAGCCACAAAATCATCTTTATAATTTCCTTATAAAAAAACTTAGCTTTCATGGCCAACATGGGTACTGAAATTGGAGCATACCTATTTCTTTCCTGATAAAACCACATGTACAAAGCTTCTTCCACTTCTGGATGTTCAGCTTTCTTGATTGTTTGTCTCTTGTCTGTCCCACAGTCAGTAGTTGATACGAAGTTTTTAATCTTCTCATGATTTTTTTTAACATCATAAATTGTAGATCGGCCTATGCTGTATTCACTTGCTAAACTACTAAAAGATTCATTACGATTTAAATGGTCTAAAATATCATATTTTTCTTTAATTGTCAGTGTTTTGTGTTTTCACTTCTGGGCTTGTGACGACATAATTTACTAGGCACGTATACGTAATACACAATGAATAAACAGTTAACAAAGAATCTATACTTTGAGCACAATAGCGGTGGCACAATTGTAACCTGTTCAATCATGCATTATCTATATTAGCGAAGATTGTAAAAAAAATATCCAATAATTATAGACATGTCGGATTACAAGGGGCGCCGGATTAACCAGGGGCCAGATTACCGGGAGTCCACTGTATATTAACCTATATTTGAGAACTTCTGGCGCTAAATTCCCGATACATGTTTGTTTTTAAAGTTCTGTTAAAACGTTCTACAAGGAAGCTTTTATTGTACTGAAAGTTGAATAATGGTTAATATTATATTTTTTTACGAGCGCCTGGAAATGTGAATTGTAAATCCCTCGACCCCGGTCCGTATGGATTAGGCGGGGGTGGCGAAGGACAAAAGTGTAGCCATCGCTTTAGTAACGATTCTTCCGCATTTTGTTTTTAGCATTGCCCACCTGATTTGTATGAGTTCCTCACCTGACTGCAATTTTTGTTTTAGCGATTCCATTGTAGATTGTTAAAATACGTTGTGGTGTTCAATACGCTCAACATGACATGGTTGATTTTCAGGGGAAATTCATCCGTTTTATATATATATAAATAGAGTAAACATATAAGAAGATTTTTAGTAAGTAGGTGGTGCTGCATTTCGTCGCGTTAGATTCTGTTGGGTTTGACAGATGCTCTACAGTAAATTTGGGCCGTATCACAACGCGGTGGTAAGATATTTAGGCGACGTAGGCCTCCCTGAAGCAATGCCTCACGGCAGTTCCAGGGCGTTCCACATTAAGTCGATTAAAGCGAAAGAAAAAAAAAGGATTTGACATACCTTTTTGGCTCATTGAAATTTATTGAATTTCAAAGATTGATTTCCAGAAATATTTTATTTTTAAGGATTTATTTTGTTTTACAAAAAAAAAAAAAATTGTGTATTTTATAAATTAATTTATATTGCTTTATTTTCTCTTTAATTTTAAATTTATTTATTAACATTTAAATAACAAACAATTATAAATTATCTGCTGTTGTCTCATCTATGAAATAAAATATACTATAGTATATATTTTTATCTTACTGGCTAAATTAATTTTATGTTTAAGTATACATAGTAATCTGATACACAGATTTTTATGTGTATATGTATCAATTAATATTTTAACAATTTTACATTAGGTAAATATGCAATTCAATGTTTTCATAATTATACAATTTTTAAACTTAAACTGTTGAAAACATTAATACATTTTTATTGGTAGTTCATAATAATATAGTGGTTGAAAGAAAACTTATTTTAAAAGCAATATGCATGCTCAATATTTGAATGTATCCGAATGGAATAAAATGCCTAAAGTTCAGTATGTACAAAATTATATTCATATAACACTGCATCAGAAAGTTAATTAAAACATCAACAATTATAACCTTTTTTATATTTATCATCCCTTTTTCATAAATAAATTTACTTGAAATTTAATACAACCTACAAACACAGTGATTAAAAATTTAAGTTGTGTTTTAAAATTCTATACCTCCCTTGTTATTTGAAAATGGATACATTTATAAGTATGCTTAAATTAAAGTAGAAAATAACCTCTGTTCACAATTTAAAAACCCCATTTTCATGATTCAAATTGCAGTAGAACTTAAAAATAATGGATAAACTCGCATTTATACTAATAAACAAAAACTAATTTAAAAAAAATACGGTTTATAGATTCAAAGAAAATACAAGTGGAATTTTGAATATATTTGCATCAAGTAAAACCAATAGCTCTAACATCAATAAACAGTTCATAAATAATCTAGAAAACACAAATGATTTTGCCAAAATAAACAAAGTTATACGAAATTTAACAATTCTTCAGTTGCATGTTTCAAATGCTCGAAAACAACTCTTGAATGATAGGATAAACAAATACAATAAAATGTATATTGACAAGCAATATTTTAAAATACAACTAATAATAAATGAATACTTCAAAACTATAAAAAATTATGCAAATGAAAAGAATGTAGCAAAAATTTTAATCAATATGCAACGACTAACAGCTATGTTTATATCGATTAAAGATAAACATAAGTCAAATAAGTTTAGGAAAAATAAACCAAAATGGTGGGGTAAATATTTTCTTACATTATATAGCCTATTAATTTCATTATCACTTTGTAGTATTGGTAAATTAATGTGTGATTTTCATATGTGGCTCATTTACACTATACATTTTATATTTTAAAATAAATCTTATTATTTTATTTAATATGATTGGATTAAAAATAACCTGTGATATAGTTATATTTTTATATTAGATTGGTGATAAAAATACACAGAGTGATTAATTTAATGTTGACCACTAGTTTTCTTCTATAATAATAATTTTGAGAATTTATTTTAGCATTAGTAGTATTTATTTTTCAATTCTTAACCGGTTAAATAATTTAAAAACCTTTCCTTGTCTTTTATATGGGTATAAACTTAATTTTTTAAATAGCAATATACGTATCGAATATTTTTAGTATCACAAGAAAGAAATGCATAATGATTAATATAACATAAACAGCATTTCCTTTTCAGTCTATAATTTAAAAATATTCACTGCATATTTACAAAAATGTTAAAACTTCCAAAATAGTGGTTCAAAAGTTATTGTCAACCAATAATTTTTTTTAGTGGGATCATTTTCTATTATATGAACTAGTTTGATATGTATGTTGCCATTCAAAAAAATATAGTTGATACTCTTATTACAGATAGAATATCTGTAATACATAGATAGTGATACAGATAAAAAGTTTTAATTATTTAAAAACCATTATACTTATAAACAATATCAATATTTTTTTTTTTCAAAATTATTATTACTTGATTAAAAATTTAATGGTAAATAATAAATTAATCATTTTGTATATATACTTAAATTTATTGGAAATAGTTGTACTTTTTAAGAGTTTGTTTTAATTAATACTTAATTGAGACAATAACACAAAAATAATTTCAAGTAGGTAAATTTTTTACTGTTAATATATATATGTACACATATTTCAATTACCATACTATTTATTATAATTTAAAATTTTCTTAGTGTATAATTCAACAAACTCATCAGATTCTTCATTATTCAAAGTGGTTAAGGCTTCATGATAAACATTTGATACGGTTTTTGGTGATCCATACTTAAGCTCAAATAATATTCTGTCCATCCACAGTTCTTAAAAAAAATAATAATACATAATTTAATAGCATTATTAAGCTTACATAAAAATAAATTAAAAATTTAATTTTTCCATAATAATGTTTAAAATAATGTTAATATTCTAATTCATATTAAAAAGTTTAACATGTAATTTAGGTTTACTTAATACTTAATTTATACATGGATAAATAATGAAAAATAAGTACCTTTATCTGTTTTACCAAATTGCATACAAGCTATTATGAAGTGTTGTCTAATTTTATGAATATCCATTTTTTCCTGTTCTGTTTCAATTTTAATAATTGTATTACATAAACTGGAATCTCTTCCAGTACTCATGATTAATTTTTGAAAAGCATTACGTGTGCACTCTAATGAATTATTTCGGCTAAGCCAATATAAATAACTACTACCCAGTTTTTTTTTCACTTCTTCATCACATTCAGATATGTCACTAAACACAATTTCAAAAATTTCTTTTGCTTGAGGCTCTTCAATGATTTTTTCAGTTATCAAAAGCCAAACATTAACAGACATAAGATTCATGTGTTGTTTAAAAATTTCATAAGCACCAAATTTATCACTTTCAACTAAATTTTTTATTTTAACTTCTAAAATACTAGGATCATTTGGATATTTTTCGAGAGCCCACTCTAATATTTCATTTGTGATTGATGATTTTGATTTATTAACCTATAATCAATAATAATTAAATTATTATGACACCTATTCATACAAATAACAATAAAATTAAAAATTATGAATACATTTTAAATTTGTATTGAACCAATACATATACATATCACAAATAAGTGTGTCACAATTTTTGTTATAATGATATGTTACTAAAACTATTATATTATAATTAAATATATACATATCAAATATATATAAATCTGTTATTGTATTAGAAAAACCTTGTAAATTTTAAAATAGTCATTATTAGGACTTCCATTTCAGTCATTTGAGAAATATTATAATTCACATTTTTACAAAATAAGTAAAAACTTTATGGTCATTAAACTAACTGTTATTATTTATTTAATGATGAAATAAATCTTAATCAACCGGTAGTAATTTAAAATTATATAAAATAATTATTTATTAATATAAATAACAGAGCGATATAATTACCCATTGAACATAATGTATAGGCTTTAACCGATTCTTAGCATGAGCATTAAACATGGAATGTCTTAATAAATTTCTTTTATACGCTTCAGTTTTATTTGTATCAGAAGTTATTTGAAGTAAAGTGTTTAAATATAAATTCCACATTTCATCAGTATCAACTATAGACAGTGCTTCATCATATTTATCTAAACAGTTTCTGTAAAAATATACACATTATATTTATATACAGAGTGTTTGGTAAGTAAGCAAACAGGTCAGTTGTTACAAACAAGAACAACAGAAACACATTTCTTACTTACTAAATACTTTATATGTTTATATTAAAGACAATCTTTATGCATTATGAAATAAGAAAATGTTATGTTATGTTAAATTTAAATTAAATTAAAAATACAACTTTGTGTTATAAAAATAAATTGGTAAAATTTTTTAGATATTAAATTATAAAATTTTATATAAAATAGTAGTTAACAAATAAAAATTTTATACACTATTAAAAAAAAAAAAAATGAATAACCAATTATTTATGATTTTATTAATTTTGTAAGCATATATCTTACTTTATTCTGAGTTTTTCTGGTCTTTTGGGATGATTGAGTTCGTTATTAGCAATGGTATTCCAATAAATAGGATCTGAACTAAAATTTGTTTGCAAAAAGCTAAAATGATATTATAAAATAAATAATAATAATAATAATATTTTTATAAGATATTTATAAAAAAAATTGAATTAATTTTACTTAAGAAACATGCTTATTTATTTAGTGTAATTTTTACTAATAATAACTTAAAAATTATTAATAAGTTAATGAAAAGTTTCTATTTGAATAGTGTTAACCAAAAATAATAGAGCGATTATTTAAAATATTATTTTTTTAGTTATTGAATTGAGATTTTTTATTCCTTTTTTTAGAATGTTTTCTTGTTAAAGGTTTTATTAATTATTAAAAGAAATTAAAATAGATAAATGTTTTTTTAAGAATTAGTTTTCAAAAGTGAAAAAATAAAACCTGTTACTATATTTATGTAATTAAATTAAGGGTACAGTGGAAAAACAGTCCATTTTTTTAGTTTTTCAAAAAAGCAACAATAAAGTTCTAAATTGCTATTACCTTAGTAATAAAATAAAAATAGTATAAATTTAGTATTAACAAGATGAAAATATTTTTGACCGAATAGGCTTTAATTTTTGAAACTTTTACTAATGAAGTAGAATCAAATCATAAAATCAAAATCAAGAAAAATAAGTTATTATTGTTTTTCCCTGTAACAATCAAATAGAAAATTATTAAATGAATACTTTTATTGGTGTAATACTAGCATACCAGTTACAAATGAAATTATTGTTATAAAATTTAAAAATTACGATAAGCTAGGATTAAAATAATTATTAAATAGAGCTATTACTTAATAAATTCTACAGTCAACATCATATAAAACATTCTGTGAGTTAAAAATCATACAAAAAAGAAGGCTAGAAACCTAAACAACTTTGACAATGGATTCATACTCTTCTATTCACACACCATCATAAAATATATTTGTTAGCAAACCATAAAAACCATATATTTTCAATGTTGTTATCAAAAATAAATTTTAATAAATTAATTACTTTCTTATTTCTTCATTAAGGTATGAAGCAAAATTGTAATCTTTTGTTTTTTGATACATTTTAAAAAAGAGACTGAAGTCATTGGCCACATTATCAATTGCAGACAAGAATATGGCTTTAGCAATAGATCCATTCAAGGCAGGATCATCTGGTTTGTATACTTGTTCTGAATAAAAATATATATTAGTTAAATAATTAATTGTAATATTACCTAATAATACTTTTCTTTATAACAGTTTGGGTAAGAATTTCTGAGTAAGTAAGTTCTATATCAAATGCTTCTAAATATAATGATGAAGATTTTTTATGCAACCGTAAGCCTGTTGTATATAACTCTCTGGCTTTTTGAATATTTTTTAAATCTAAAAATTCTTGTCTTATAGCAAAAACATATATTTCATCAGATATGTGACCATGTAATAATAATGCACTATCAATTGCATATTGCAACAATCTAAAGCGTTTCTAAGTAAAAAATATAAAAAATTTAATTTTTTTTGTTGAAATGTTAACAAAGGTATGAATTAACGATAAAATATAAAAATTCATACTGCTTTGACTAAAAATTTTATATATTCCTTCCACAGAGAAATGTCATCTTTAAAATATTTGAGTGCTGTTCGATATATGGTGTTTATGCGACTAATATGTTGTTCAATCAGTTTTAAAGACTCTGCGTTTTCTAATCCCAACTAATAAATAAAAAATACATTAATGAATTAAGACTATGATAAAATAATAATAACATAAAAATTTTAACATTGTAAATAAGAGCATGTAATAATAATAATACATACTTTTTGTATTTTTTTCATAACAGACTTTAAGAATACAATATATTGGGTAAAATCTGATTTTTGTTTGTTGCGACGCATCATTCTGTACTCAAATTTTTCTCTTTGATGGACAATGCGTCTAAACACAAATTTAATTTAAAATTATGAAAAATTTAATAATATAAATAACTTACTTAACAATTGACTTCTTGAATAGAATTTCAAGAAGATTAATTTCGACAATCATGTCTTCTTTTCTTCTTTGTACGTATTCAGCCATTTTAACTAGTCTAAACTCAACTATTTGAATAAACTTGACAAATTATAAAATAAATAGCCCACGTGAGTGAACTAGAGAAATAAATCTCTTATCTATGTTGTTCACTGATAACGAAAACTATATCAATGATGTTTATAGAGAACATAGATATACAATATTGTATGCAGTACTAAATGTCACATTTATAAATATAATCGTTTATCTATAATCGTGTTGTATATGTAAGACAGTGAATGGGGAATCAGTATTATCATTAATTAGTTGTTGTCTATGATATTACATTTAATATAAATATAATATAGTAGAAGCCTTATATAAGTCATTCTCCTGCCTTGGTTACAATACAGACTATATAGTCTGTGGTTACAACCTAATTTTCTTAAAGATAATCTATTCATTTTTCCAACTGACGGATTTAACTTGTAACTAAGGTCTTCGTGTAATATATTTTTATTTACAAATTTGGATTTTTTATTTATATGTATTTCTTTCATATTAAACTAAAAGTTTTAATGTAATATAATTATAAGTTTTACATAAAATAATATTTTGCATTACGCTCCTCTAGTTATCAATAAAATTGAAGAGTTTCTCAGGTAATATGGTATTATATTTTAGCACTCGGGATATTACTATAGAATTACAAGTTATAGTTTATATATAATAATAGTTTATTATTTTGCTAAAAATATATGGTAAAACTAATTAAAGTAAAATTAATTTGAAGAACACAAATATTTTAATATTTTTAAATGTATTCTCAATATATCATTAATTTAAAATATCACATTTCTTCCATAATTAGTTTCGTATTTAAAAATGTTTATAAATCAATTATAATTAGTGTAGTAACTTTTAAGCTTCTAAAATTAAATCTACAATTTTTTTAGCCAAATACATTGTTATAATTTTACAAAATAATTATTAATTTTCTAGGCTCTGGGTTTTATTTTGTTCGTTATATTTTATTTTAAATGCACGATTTCTTTCATTCAAATTAATTTTTATAGACTTATTTGATGACAGATGGAAAAAATAAAAATTAAAAATATTACCTTCAAAAAAATTTCATATAATTACTAGTTTTTTTATTTTTTAAACAATTACCATTTATTGATGGACTATACATTTTAAACTATTCATCAATTCATTTTTATAATCTTAAGATTATATTACGATTAATAATCTGTTAATTTATTATCATTTATAATTTTTTTCTTTAATAATATAAAGTTTAATGATAAAGAATGAAGCATAATTGATCAAACTATGAAAAAATACTTTTTTTTTTCAAAATTTATAATTTTTTTTAATCTTACATACTTTAGATTTCAATGTACATTAGTCTGAATTTTAAGTACATACAAGATCAGTTTATCATTAACCACTCAATTACTCTCTAAATAAATACAATATTAGAAAAATAATTTTTAATTTTTTTTAATTACATATAACTCTTGATTTATTAGTGTATAACCTTTTTTTAAATTAATCTTTATAACTTAAAGGGATGTTAACTTTGTTTTTTTAAATGTACATAAACATGCATGATTAACTAGCTTATTAAATAGGCAATAATCTAAATAAAAAAATGACTGATTGATTTTTGTAAAATTATAATTTTAATAACTACTATTCTATAATATTTGAAGATCTACATTCTATCTTTTAAATTGGACATTGAATTTATCTCAGTGATTTAAAAAAATGAAAAAAATAACTTTTCAAGTCATAATAATAACTATAAAGACTTAGTTTGTTTGTTATTTTAAGTACTATCAAAATTTGTTGTATGTAATTTCTCAGTTTATGCATAAAAAAATCACTTTATTACCTCTAGTTGTATATCCAAGATTTAATAGGCATATTTGTTTGAGGTTTGAAAGTTTTATTTAGCTCATTACTTCATAATTTTGGTAGAAATGCTTAAAAAAAATTTAATATAACGAAAATAATATTTAAATGACCAGAGTAAGAAGAATTTACATGATTAGTATACATACTATTATAAGCTGTACTCTTGTATGCTAGCAAGGATGATCCTAGAAATAATTTTTAGGATGGTGTTGAAAAGTTTGATAACTGTTGGTAACAAATTTGCTGAATAAATTACCTTAATGTGTAAAAATTACAATATATTCCATAAATATCAACCACTAGTGATTTAGTTTTTTAATGAATGTTTTGAATATTTTTCACATACACCCCTATGATATTGTCCTTATGCACTACTTACCCAATTAGTGCATTGAAATACCTCTAACTGACAGAGTACTTCTTCAACAATTAATATGTATATATATATACTAGGGTGTCCCAGAATTTTGAAGTTTCCGAAATGCTTTGTGCATACCCCTCAAATTAATTTGTATATATATAAAAAAGAACACAAAAAAATTTCAGGTCGATCAAACAAGTTTAACCCGTGCCGACTTGGGGTTGAAAACTAGTTAAAAGGGGTAGTTTTTCAGTTATTTGCCATTGACTCGTAAATTAGTGCTCTCACAAAAAAATATATAGGAAATAAATTGTAGATATAAATGTTGTGTATAACTTAAATTTCTATAATTTTTCTTCTAAACCCACTAGTTTACTAGAAAAATTGAAAAATAAGTATTATTTTGCAAAACTGTCGAAAATGGGATATTTACGAATATTGAAGTAATATTTCATATAAAAATTGTTCAAATTTTAATTTTCTAATAAAAAAGTAATGAATAAAATTTTCATTGCGGTGATCGTTTTATTTTTTTAACATGATTAATATTTATTTTTACAAAATATATGAGTATTATTGGTTAATTTCGTTTATCATCTGGTATGTTACAACAAAATTTCTTATGAAGTATGGTGATAATACTATTGTATTATCTACATATGGAGTAAAATTATTTTGCTATTATTAAATATTTCCACAAATCATGAAAAGATTACGACTTATGATAATGAATTCTTTATTTTACTACTTTAGTTGCCTGCGTTATTACATTGATTTTGTTTACCTCCGTGCAGCCTATTTTATATTTTTAATTTAACGTAGTGTCAGTTTTTATTTTTATGTTATTTTGAAGTATAAAATATCAAATTTATTTATTATATTTAGTGAAAGTTTTATTTATCAATAAATATGTCACTAGTATTGAGGAGTTCCAAAAAAGAAATATTGTTAATAGGTGATATAAAACATTAAATTACGGGTTGAAAACTTCCTACTAATGGCCAAGTACTTGCTGTTTTATTTTATAATATGCGTGAAGTAAAATTAACCGTGAGTGAAAGTGCGAATCTTGTCCTTCGTGAGTGTATTATATTTTGGGTAAAGGCGCGAATACCAAAAAAATCAATACCAAACTGTGTTAAAAAACCTGTTGACTTGTATCACATTTGGAGAGACCTGCAGAAGAATGCAAATAAAGCAAACGATTTATTTCAACAACGTGAGCAAGCATTCATAAAAAATTTAGATAATTTATTTGATATTGCTCATGTGGATGCAAATAAATTAATTAAAATTGAGGATGACAAGATATTCCTGCAACGGCAAAGAGAGCCTGGACGACCTGGACACTTAGCTGGAGTGGATTAAAAGTTAGCAGATAAGGAGGAAAGAGCACGACTTAAGTCTATTGTAGAAGAAAATAGGAAAATAAAGTATTTAACTCCGTCAACTTCTTCAGAATTAAATGTACATATGCAGGATGAATTATCTTGCAGTTCTAGTGAAATGATAGATTTACAAACAAATTAACCAATTGTATCGGACAATACACCTCTTAAAAATGAAACTATTACAATTGTAGCAAAAAAAGAATTTATTACTCCAAAATTAGTAGTTGCGTTAGATAGATCTCAATTAAGCACAAGAGACTCTGTATTTATCCTTCAAGCTACCCTTGAAGCACTAGGGTATAATACAGACAAACTTACTATCAGTAAGTCGTCTACAACGAATCCGTACAGAAAAACGCAAGGAGTGTGCAAATGCCATAAAAGTGGATTTTCAGAATGAAGTACCAGACATTGTTACGGTACACTGGGACGGAAAACTGTTGCCTGCACTAGAAAGTCGTAATAAAAACGAAGAACGACTCCTTATTGTTATTTCATTCAGAAATAAAGAACAACTGATTTCTGTGCCAAAATTAGAAAACTTCACTGGTAAAGAACAAGCACAAGCTATTTGGAATGCTAACACTCATTGGAATCTTGAAGATAAAGTGCTAATTTTATTCTGTGATACAACAGCTTCCAATACAGGACGCATTAATGGCGCATATTCCTTATTAGAGCAAAGACTTATTTTTGCTTGTCGCCATAATATTTATGAGCTGGTACTAAAAAGCGTTTTTGAATTAAAAATCAGTCACGTGACTAATAGTCCCGATATTCCACTATTCAAAAAAATTAAAGAAAATTGGAAAAATGTCAACCTCATCGAGATAAAATTTTATAGAGAATTCGTAGAAACTTATATAAGCACAACAAAAATTGAAGCTCTACTTGAATTTTACCATGCTGAATTAACAAAAAAAATTGTCAGAGATGACTATCGAAAGCTGATAGAACTTTCAATAATATTTTTAAGAAGAGATTCAGAGAAAAAGTTTAAAATTAGGCTTCCAGGAGCAATGCACCAAGCGAGATGGATGGCAAGAGCTATATATTCTTTGAAAATATCACTACTTAGTTCTCAACTAAATATTATTAGCTAGGATAAAACCGCGTTGCTAGATGTTTGCTTATTCATTGTTACTACTTACTTTCATTGTTACTACTTACTTACGTGAAGCCTTGACTTAAATGCGTTCTTGCAGTAAAATCACTTCATCAAAACTTGTGTTTTTTAAAGTCACTAAAAGCTTATGAAACCATTGACATAAGTATTTCAAAAGTGGCACTGCAGAAATTTAGTCAGCATTTGTGGTACTTAACTGATGAAATTGTAATCTTAGCACTATTTGACGATGAAGTTGAACCAGATATGAAACGATTTATGGTAAAAAAAACCAAGCACGGGGGGGTCGCGGCACAGTGGTGACGTGGCATAGTTGGATCAAGTATAATGATATCTGACAGTGATTAAAATCACTATAAAAAAAAAACGCTTCGATGCAAATCTTTAGATAGTGTTTAATTTTAAAAAATTGGTGGATTATTCCAAAAGCTACATGAACTGCTAGTTCCTTATTAATATCCTGATTAAGATAAAGTATGTCGAATGAAAAAGGGATTATTAAAAAATATTATTTCTCGTAAAAAAATTGTGTTGATCCATACACTTTTCAATAAGTTATAGCATTATAAAGTTATAAATTTTAAATATAAAATTGAGAAATTTCACACAAAAATAGCATTCGGTAGCCATTTTCACCTCGAAGACAAGTCCAGAGGTCAAATTTTTTTTTTTTCATAATAAAGTATATTACATTATCTTTAATTTAAGATATATATAAAAGTGTCAGACTTTTCTGAACATTTCCAAAAGTCAAGTTGAAAAAGTTAATTTTTTGTGAAAAAGTTGTAATTTTAAATCCCCCCCTGTGGGCAGATAAAGGGTTAGATTTCTAAAAAATATATGCTAAATGATAGGTAAATA